TTTTTTTTTCTTTTATTTCGGTTTGTAGTACACCTCATGAGCAGGCAAACACCCGACAAAGCTCAGAGACGATCTGAAAAGTGGATGAGGTGGGATTATAAATACTGCAGGGAATGATTAGAGAATGGAAAGGAGGGAAGTGCGGCTCAGGTGACTTTACAGGTGGGAAAAGCAGACAGGTGGGAGCAGCAGTAATGACATCACAGCCAGTGGTATCGAACCACCCAAAACCTGTGACAACACCACAGGCTACACTGCAAACACAGATCCCAGCAGTGAAACGGTTGAAGAATCTTCTTTTTCTTTTAAAGACTGAAAACTGAAAACATGGGACGCGTTGCAAAGACGGCTTTTGACTGAAATCCAGTTTTACATGTTTTTTTAACGAATCGTTCATTCCTGTTTCCTGTGCTTTGCAGGCGAGGGATTTCACAACTATCACCACACGTTCCCATATGACTATGCAACCAGCGAGTTTGGCTGCAAGTTGAACCTTACCACTTGTTTCATCGACTTCATGTGTTTCTTGGGCCTGGCCAAAGACCGCAAGAAGGTGTCCCGTGAGCTAGTCCTGGCCCGGATACAGCGCACCGGAGACCGCAGTGGCTAAGATCGCTAAACTGTGGTCAGCTTCGAGGCAAAACAACCGATAAGAAGAATTTCCACAGTCCTTTGACAGCTATACATTTCTCATTCTCTGAGGATTAAAGTCAGCTTTATAAGGGCCTTGACCACATTTTTGCTTGTTTTTGTGGTTTTTGTAGCTGTAACTAAACAAATTATTCAAGATGGGAAAAAAAAGATGTTTCAGATTTGAATTAGATGCATTTTAAAAGTCACCTCCATTTTCCGCTGTTTTGCCACTTTTGGTGTGCATTCTTCATGCAAGATCAGTTATGTAGCCGATCATTTTTATGTAAGTATGAATTAATTATTCTTCAAAACTGACAAGGAGTGGAGCACTTAAATATGGAGTAACATTTTAACTGTTAAGGTACATTACTGATTCAAGAGTGTTGCCTTTATTGTAGTTTACAACAAGTTTTCAACTGTTCTCATAAATAGATTTAATTTCTGAGCAGTTTAGATTTGAAATGAAGAGGTGAGAGGTCATGTTTGTTTTGCTTTTTGCAAAAAAAAAAAAAAAGATTAAATAAATAAAATGCTTGCTTTAATGAAATATGAGAGAATACTGAGGGAACCCAGACCTTCTTATTAGCCTGAGCATTCTGACAACCAGTAGGCCAAAGCTTTACACAACCTGCAGGGTGCAACACTGGTTGCCTTTAGCAGAAATCTACACTGGATATCTATTGAGAAACGTTCAAGCACTTTGAAAAAGATTAGCTGTGCAATAATTGGACGGAGTTTTCTCGCGATAATATAGGGAACTGGTTTAACATTAGAATGAAACTGCCGCTTAGCGTAAGCAGTTAATGAGAATTGTAACTTTACCTTAGAAAGATAAAAACATTTCACTGAGTTTTTGGGTGCTGGATGAATATATCATTAGTGCCAAGAGCGTGTCAAATGACAACATTTTTACAACCATCTCTGTGGTCCACTAGAGCACACTAAGTCGCCTCTTTGCATAACATGATTGTTGGAGTTGTTTTTTTTTAACATTGTGGCATGAGCGGCTTTTTGCTTAACTGATTTTATCCAACTCGCGTGACTATTTTGTCCTTAAACATCTGCAGCATGGAGCTCCCTGATAGGTGTAGCAGCCAGTCATGTGGCAGTTCTGGTGTTACAAAACAACATGTCACCCATGCATGGCGATATACTGTAGTAGGTGTTGTAGTGAGGTGTTGTGTCGGTGACTGTGAAGGCAGAACTGCGTCTATTTTTGTAACGTACCGTGGAGCTGCATCGCTTTGGATCATCAGAACCGTTGGCGCCGCGTTGATTTCCGAGCAGGGTCTGGTTTCCCTTTGATGTGCTACAAAGGTCGTTATTTCAGAATTTTAGGTGCATCAGTGTTCATGTTAATCTTTGATTCTGATGTGTGGAATGCGTAGATTATTTATGTGTTTAATTGTTTTTTCTTTCTTATCGACTTTCCAAAAAAAAAAAGCAAAAGAAAATATTGTTCGAACCTGATAAATATATTTCTGCATTCCAATATTTGGCTGACGGCCTTGTAAAAATATATCTTTAAAAAAAAAAATCTGAAAACTGGAGCAATTGTTCATTTGTTCTTAAGAGTCAGGATCAACCTAATGCCTTATGACTTGCATCCATTCCTTCGCTTCCTGTCAGTTGAGTCAAAAATGCTCGAGTACCGCAAAACAAATTTGACTTCTGAGTTCCGTGTTTACACTGAGTGGAACATTGTTTTTCTCCTAAAATCATGTTTAATTTTAGGCAAACGTAGCATGGCAACACTGAGGAATTGTACACGCAAACGGAGGATAGGATTTAAGCGTAAAAGAGTCCGGTACAAAATGAAAAGCTGGCGAGAATGTTACATCGTGAGGTTTAAAGCTGCAGTGCGAAACTTTTGCTTCCCTTTCATGGCCGTGAGAGCAGTTGTGGCTATTGGTGTTGCCCTAGTCGTTGATCACTTCTTCCTTTTTTTGAGATTGTGATCCTTCCCATGAACGCATCGGCTTTCATAGGGTTTCCCACCATTGCTTTGTCTTTGTAGCTATGCCATGGGCGGTGAAAGCCGAAAGCAGGCAGAGCAGCAGCAAGACTCCCAGTATAAAAACGGAGCACCCATCAATTGCAAAAGTATGAAAAAGGAGCTGGGTGGAAGTAGGTTGCTTGTTGTAGAGACAGCAACTGAAAACTGGCTTTAAGATCCATGTATTTGTAAGTTAGATGTATATCAGTGGATCATCTTGTTTGGGCTTCCTGAGCTAATGCTATATTTGATATTTAATGCTTTAATTTAACTAAACAGATTTATCCATTAGGCTTACCCAGCTCCGTGAATGTAAATTAATTACTATCCAAAGGTCTCGCACTTTAGCTTTAACTTGGGCCCTGATAGATGGATGGTGCCAGCTTCTCTCAACTCATCACAGCATCTCGGCATAAAAACTTAAAACAAAGGTGCTGTCGTGAGGACATCATTAGAGCACTTACCAAAACAGATGGCATTATATACTATTACAACAACGCCGGCTGGCCAGAGCACCTAAAGCAGCGTTTTCCTAATGAGGAGAGAGAGGGGTCGAGCTGTTTTCAGTCTGATAATGTCTACTGTATTAAAAATCTGAAATAAATTCACAATATTTTCAATACACTTGTAATTCCATTAACAGTTGTTGCTCATTTATTTCTGTTTTCACTCTCTGTGTCTTTGGGTTTTATGATTCTAAATAAATTTGCGCTGTGCATGCCAAACATTTAGAGTAGTTCCATGAGACATTTTGGTTTACACATACTTAGTTCTCGCTTTCAGAATGGTTTTGTAGTTGGCGTCAGGAACAGAGCTAAATACGCCTGTGATTTCTAAACATTTCCTGGATATTTTAAGTTGGCTTTCAAGATTTTAACTCCAATTTTAACTCCATAAGGACGTCTTATGGAGTTAAAATGCTTCTCGTTGTTGTTACTGCTGTCTTCTATCTTGAAATCCTTCACTAAAGTAACAGAGAAATAATAAGTAACACTTTCTTAAGCACTCATTAAAGAGATTTAGTCTCAGCGATATAGATTTAACCTCGAAAGTGAGTAATTGGTGATTTCCTCTCTTTCACGTCATGGTAAAATTTTGGGTTTTGTAAGATTACCAGAAGCCACTGGGCTTTCTGATCTTCATTTAATAGTCAATAAAATAAAATCTGATTTATGAGAGGGGGCTACGCCCCAAATGTATAATCTATATATATCTTATAATTTATGTTCAAATCTTAAATCTGTCCATTAACTCTTGGAAATGAAGGACTACATTTAAATGCCTTGTCTGTGTCTACAGTTGTGGTCAGAGTTTTACATACACTGATCACAGATATGAATGTCATTATAATTTGGGGCTTTTAATAATCTCTTTTGAATGATTTCATTTTCCAGGGTGGAATTATTGTACGGCATATATTTTAGTGACTTTTCAAATTTGAATTTATTTTGGATTTTCTTTAATCCACATAGTGTTAAAAAATATACATACAACTATGTACATACACTCATTTAAATCTTAATAAGTGCTGCTAAAGGTGCTTTGGTGTTGCTTAACTTGACAAGGCCAGGGTTTATTGCTTTCTCATTAGTAGTTTCTCTTAAAAAATATTTGTTTGACAGCACTCATTGGATCGACTAACAATCAGAACAATGAAAGCCCAAGACTGTCAGGATCTAAGAAGTAGAACTGAATATTTACACAAGTTGGAAAGTTGTCTTCAAGCAACTATATGCAAATACAAGTTATTCACATGTGTCACCACTTGCAAGGTGTAAACCAGGGGTGGGTGCCTCAAGGGTCAGTGTCCTGCAGGTTTTAGATGTGTCCTTGATCCAACACAGCTGATTTAAATGACTAAATTACCTCCTCAGTGTGTCCTGAAGTTCTCTAGAGGCCTGGTAATGAACTAATCATGTGTGCTGACCCAGGGTGAGATCTAAAACCTGCAATACACTCCAGGCCCTCGAGATGCGCTCAGATGAAAGAAAATTGGGTAGGATGTTCAGGGACAATTTAGGAACCACCAAGGCTCAAGCCTGCTGTGAGATGGAAACTGCTTTAACATCAGTGCGACTGTCACAGTAAAGCCAGTTTTATATGGCCATGAACTTCAAGAGTGCTGACCAAAAAGGAAGTCTCTCTTTCAAAATTGAGAGGTTCAAGCTCAACTGAAATTTGCAGATGCCCACATGAACGAGCAAAATGCCTTATGGAGAAAGGTTTTATGGTCAGACAAGACAAAAATTAAGCTATTTAGCCATAGCGACAAGAGATATGTTTGGATGAGTAAACGTGAGGCTTTCACACCTAAGACCAGTGTACCAGCTGTTAAGCATGGTGGTGGTAGCATCACGCTCTGGGCTGTTTTGCTGTAAAGGTACATCGCACAAAGTGGAGAGAATAATGACAAGACGACTTAAAATTTATTAACGTCGCCTCAAATTAACAGCTAGATAGTTGAAACTTGGACATAGTTGGGTGTTCCAGCGGGACAATGAGACCAAACACAAATCAAAACTGATTTTGGCAAGCATGCTAACTTTAATCTTCTGGAATGGCCTTCCCAAAGCTCCGACCTTGTGGTCTACACTTAAAAGCCAGATCTGTTGAAGAAAACCAACGAATTTAAAAGACCACTACCAATTCTGCCAAGACATTTAGTCAAATATGCAGCTAGGATTATATAAGAAACTGGTAGAGGGCTACCAAAAGTGTCTGGTTAAGGTGCAGTTTGCAGACATTTAGCCAGATCCTAGTGGGGTGTATGTATACTTTTGACCCTGTGGATTAGAGAAAATCCAAAGGAAATTCAAACTTGTTCACCCAATTATTGTTTTTTAAGTCAATAAAGATATATGCTATACAACCACTACACCTTAGAAAATTAACTGTTCAAATAAACATTTAAAAGCCCAAATACAAGGACATTCATGCCCATTATGAGTGTATTGACCCTTCTGTCCACATCTGTACATCAACTTCATTTTGAGTTTAAAATATGTCAAAATGAAGGTTTTTGACATCGCAGTGTTAAATTGTCTCAGTGATATCGTACTCCATAACCCTAACCAAGTTTGAGTGTCTGTGAAGAAGCCAGCTGGAATGGTTTGGGGGATGGCATGTTCCTGGTTGCCTTTGGGCTTCTGTGGCAAAGAACTCATCCAGTGTGCTGCTGGCATAAGTGGTCAAGTCAAATATAACCTCTGCCTGGTTTCCACAGTCCAGAGAGGAATGTAGGACCAGTGTGGTCACAAGAGACCAGTTTAATATGTCAGACGGTACGAGGTTAAGGAGTATGTGTCTCAAAAGAGTGATTCCAAAATCTAATCATGCAATTTTATGCATTTTTTTTGTCTTTGTTCTTTATTTGCTCTGTAAGTGAAGGGTTGGAACCTCTTAAGTGTCATTATGTTGTTTGTGTATTAATGCCACATGACATTATGGAAAAAGTCTAATAAAATGTTGAAGTTTTACAGTCTTTATTTGATTATTTGTTTTTTTCCACCATCTTCCATTCCTGATTTAGAAGCATGAATTGCAAACCAGCCCCTGCTCATTTCGATCCTCAGAAGGAGCAGCCAAAGGGACACGAGTAAAAGACCTGCATTTCCAACTTTGCCCATAATTTTTTCTTATCATCACAGCGTGGACAGACAGGAGGCAGACTGGGTGAATAAAAAGCAATCTGTTTATTCTGGCTATTGTACAAAAAGTCTAAAGCAAAGTTCATAAATGAAGTGGTGAAATCCAATGACACAAGTGCACACAACCAGAAACACACAAGGGAGGTTAACAGACACAAAGGCAAACACTGATGGGAAGACAACGCTTAGTCACATTATGCTTTTTTTTCGTTTGGCTTCGGTTCTTTCTCATTTGTGTTTGCTTGTTGTCGTCCTTGACGACTTCTGCTGCTTTCGGTCATGTGTATTAAACCCAAGTCACTAGAGACGAGTAACTACCAAAATAAGACAGGAATAAATACAAATACAGACACTAGCTTCAAACTAAAGGTAAGCAAAACAAAACACAAGGAATTAGACAGGACTGACTGAAAACTAACAGAGACTTGAAAGAAACTAGGAACAAAAACTAAAAGCTAAATCAAAAGAATGGTCACAGCGACAAACTAACAAACACTATATATATATTTATATATATGTGTGTGTTTAAAATAACAAATAGCTATTTAATTCAGATGATATAATGAAAATGCAAATGCATTTACCTCTTACATATAAAAAGAGAGACAATGCATTGTCACAGACACTGGAAATACTGAACATTGTTGTGCCATATACTTAATACTGTCTGATTACATTTTCTATTAATGTGTCTCTGTAACATAACAATAGTTAAGAAAAACAGAGTAAAATAAAAGCATATTTTTCCTATGAAAAGCACTATAACATAATTATAATTGTACATATAGATATATATAAGACAATACTTAAGACATACATTTGAACATAAAAACAGTCTACATTAATACTAGCATCAAAATGTACTACTAAAAGTACTCACAGATAAGTACTTTAGATTGTTGGTAGACAGGGTTTGAACTAGTTTGTAGATAGGGATTATGTGTTTTTTCTTCTTAACAATATGCAGAGAATATTTTTTTAAATGGGACTGGGAGAGGACTATAGTAGTATAACTTCGAAATCTGGAGTCTAGAGGCATCATAATTTTATTAACTAGGAATCCATGTCATCTTCCTGCATGACTGCATCCATTCGAGTCAGCCCATTGCAGCTCTACTAAAATCTGAACCTAAGTTACCAGCGAAGGCTCAGCACATCATGACTCAGCACGCTTCTGTGGTGTGATGTGGGGTGGTTTAAATTGCACGATATTACTGTCACACTATCCTGACATGACCGAGGTTACTCCAGTTCAAATTCCCAAAACATTCACACCACGCAGCTCCCGCAGCATCTGACTGAGAGCGACCAATCAGAGGGCGAGGTCCTGACTTCTGATCCCTGTGGCCCCATAGAGGAAGGGCGGGTGAAACACCTGTGCCAACTTGCAAACTTACTGACACTGAACACTCGCGGATTGCAGTGAATTTTTAATGAGTTGTGTAACGCTCCTCTAAGTGTGCAGATTGGGTCAGAAAACAAACAAACAGGAAAAAAAAACCCCAAATCGTTAAGTGCAGACTTTGATGCATTCACGTGCTTTGTTGCAAACAGGAAAACGGATCAACATCTAAAATAGTTTACCTGAGGGCACTGATGCAAGAAGCACCATGATAAACACCCATATTTACCTTCAGTAGAGCAGCTTGACTACGCTACACAGAGCCCTCTGCTGTTCATAGTGAAAATTGCTTAGATAACCAAGATAACAATAGCACACTGTGAAAAAAACTGCTTCTAAGATGTAAAAGCAACAAACTTTTAAATATTTGCTCTTCCAAAGTGGGATAATATATATTGAAATAGTGAATAACACTTTGAACTGTTTAGTTTTTGTGTAAATGTTGGTATGACAACACATTTTGATGGTTGTTTTCTATTTAACAGTGAGCATCAGAGGAAGAGCCAGTTTTTAACTTTAAAAGTCATGTATACACAATACACAACATGACTTAATACATGAAGCAATACAAGTGGCTGTGGAGCACCTTTTTATTTATTTTTTAATAAAAAAAAAATGTGTTTTTTTATTGCATGGGTAAAGGACTCAGACACTGTATTGGCAGCACTACTCCCTCACACTAAGTAGTCTTTTGGTTTGAATTCGGTCTCTGGTTTCCTTGTGGGGTTTGCATATTCTCTTTCTCTGTGGGCTCAGTCTGGTTACTCTGGCATCCTACTATTGTGCAAAGACATTCATGAGGTGAGGTTAATTGATTTTAAATTGGCTGTAGTTGTGAATGTGAGCGTGAGTAGCTGTCTGTCCCTGTAAGTGTTAGCCCTGCAATGGATTGGTGACCTGTCCAAGGTGAACCCTGCTTTTTGTCCAATGACAGCTGGGATAGGTTTCAGCCGGCCTGTGACTGTGGATACTTTGAATAAGATAGATGGAGTGAGGAGATCACCGATTAAAGAGATCAGAGTGCAACTGTTTTGCTAAACCACAATGTCATTGCCTTATTATATGTTGGTACCAGTGACATTGTGATCTCTAGTGACAGTATGGAAGAGAGGTTTATATACTTAGCATCAACCCTCCAAAGCAATGAAGTGTGTGCAAGAGAATGCAGACAAGGTGGACTGGGTGGAGATGAGTATTAAAGGTAATTTGCAGCAGAAGGACAGCAGCAGGAGTGAAAGGAAAGCTTTACAAGATAGTAGAATGACGAGCTATGGAGAATGGTTTGGAGACAGGAGGCAGAGCTGAAGATGTTAAAGATGTTCACTGGGGGTGATGAGGAGAGACAGCTCCGGTTTAAGAGTTTGGAGATAAAGAGGGATAGTGGATATACTGGATAAAGGATGTTGAAGCGGGAGCTGCCAGACAATAAGGGAAAAAGAAGACCACATAAGTTCTTGGATGTAGTGAAGGAAGCCATGCAGAGGGTTGGTGCAACAGGCAAATGACCTCCCTTCCAGGGATCACTAGAAAAAGGACAAAAAAATTGTATTGAATATGAACAAGGAGACAGTTAATGTTTAGAAACGTGCAACCTTTTAAGTGAAATTTTATTTGCAAAAAGGATACCGAAATGAATAAAGTAAGCAACATGGATTGTATAAATATCTGTGCAACCACAATGGGCACACTGAGGCACTTCACTGCCTTCTGCTGCCACAACACACCAAACTCTTACTCTACACAACTCTTAAGATCTTTGTTTTGTCAAATCCTTTAAGTCATATCATTATTATGATCTAATCTAAAACTTGTATGATTTAAAAATGGGAACTTTAGGTTATGAAAGGATAAGATGTGGCCTGGATAAAGAGGAATAGTGTATCTTTAACAGAAGGAGTGGCTAACACAGAGGGGATGTTAGTTCATGTTCAGTTTAACATAAAATTGTGTACTTTTGTTTTACAAGCTGCCCCGTGAGCAATAGGGGAAGTAGTTAACATGCATACTGAAGCAAGTCTGAGGAAAAAAAAAAACACAAAACAAAAAAACTTCAGTCGTTCACACAAGCTATCAGGAAATATTGTACCAGTGCTAATAAAGTGTGGAAGAGGAAATAAAACAGCAAAACTTGACAATCACTCTATGACATTCTTCTGCAGTACTTTGGCCCAAAAACACACATGGCACAATGAACTGGAAACAATCAATTACAGCAAGTGTAGAGAACAGTAAGATCTATGTTACAGTGTTTAAACGTGTTGATGCTTGTTGTTGTTGTTGTAAAATTATGCACACTGAGTAAAGCGTGTCAGCCTGTTCCTCCCTCACACAAAGAACACCGACAGGGTGGATAGTAAGTGCAACCCAGATTTTATTTTCATGATTTTTAGTCTCACCTTTGGAGATGAGAGTTCATAGTCAAAGATGTTTGTTTCTAATGCTGAACTGGACTTATATATGCACTGGTGTGCAGTGTAATATGGAATATGAAAATGCACCACTTTGTAAACTACCTCAATTCAGACTTTGCACCACTTGCTTTGTATATTACATAAACTTTTGAATGTACACAGAATCACAAATTTTGGAATACATTCAACTTTTTTTTCTCTTTCTTGTTTTGTTTTGTAAAATTATCACAGCAACATCGACAACTCTCTACAAAAACCAACCCCACTGCCCAAATCAGGCAAGTCTTCTGGCAAGGAAACTGTACGGAGTGATGAAGACCACGATCTGTAATATTATCAGCCATTATTCTCATTATTGACGCAAGTCATCAGGCCAAAAAGAAATAAATACATATACAACAATATGGTAACACTGAAGTCTGGTTGGTGGTGAACCAGGAGGTTACACGCCCAGCTTGTTGGCGATAGTCATGACCACTTTGAGGATCGGCATGAAGGCGGAGATCTCGCTGAAGTTGCTGCTGCTGACCACCTGAGTGTGGACCTCCAAACCCCGCTGGTAGTTCTGGCTGGCCACACAGCGACTGATCTCATGGAGTCCGCTCAGGATGTTGTGAGAGAGCTGAGAGGCAGCAGGGAAATGATATTATGTTTACAGTTTTTACTGTACTATGTGAGAAAATTGTAAAAAATCAAATTTACTGTTGCAGTTTAAGTCACAAAAAATGACAAATCTCAAGATCTATATTTTCTTTTTTCTCCCACTTCTTCAGCATGGTAAACACAGTAGTTCTTAAACTGTGAAGTGA